TTTGTTTCCCTCCAACAACTGCTGTAATCTCTCTTCTCGTTCTTCTTGTTTGTTTTCTTTCTCCTCCAACCACTGCTGTAATCTCTCTTCTCGTTCTTCTTGTTTGTTTTCTTTCTCCTCCAACCACTGCTGTAATCTCTTTTCTCGTTCTTCTTGTTTGTTTTCTTCCTCCTCCAACCACTGTTGTAATCTCTCTTCTTGTTTCTTTTGCTGTTCTTGTATTGCTGCCATCAAATCTGCTAAACTGTAGTTTGATTTGCCACTTCTCGTTTCCATTTTTTTCCATCCCACTCTCTGACACCAGTTTGTTACGTATATATTCGTTTGTTAATTTCCGGAATAAATTATTTCCGAGTAATTACAGCGATACAAGTCCTTTCTTAATTAAAACTAATTTATTATTTTTGATACAGCTTTGTACTACACAGAATTTACTCAGTCACTTTAAACTTAACAACCTTTATAACACACGCTATAAAGCACAGCAATTCACACACTTTACTTACGGTGCCTACTGTTCGCTTGACTCAATTATCTATCTCTTTGATCGTGCTGGTTTTTCTCGCCAGGCTTATATACTAAAAGGAGGGTGTCTCGAATGCATTCGAACTTTCATGATCCTTGGAGAAACTCCAGCGCATATGCTCTCAGTGTCGCGTGACTTTCGCTGTCGTAACACTGCCTCTTCCTTAGTATTCTTCATCCCTAACAATAGCCACTTACATTTAACCAATAGAGAATTAACAATAACTTAATTAAATGTAAAGAATTTACAAACACAAAATTAAAATACAACAAAGTTTCTTAATTTCACAGAACGTATCTTCTTCCATACTGGTCTCTGTCACATTGGCTTCTGCTTCACGTGGGGTTCATCTGCTATATCAGGAATTGTCCCATTATCGGTAACAGTCACATCAATGGTAGTAACTTCAGTAACAGCTTCACTGTTTCCCTTCTCAAAACTGGGTAGTTTCTTCTTCGACAATGGCTTTTTCAGGTGGCACATCTTCGGCAGCATCATTTGTTCCATTGTCCACTTCGTTACAACAAAAGTGTCCTGGACTGTTGGCATGCACCACTTTTGGTTTACCTCGCCGACCACATTTTATTCGGAAAGTCACGTCTGAGAGACGATCCACTATGTCATACGGGCCTTCCCATGGAGAAGACAACTCAGGAGACTTCCCTTTGGTCTTCCTGGGATTATACAACCACACCTTGTCTCCTGGTACAAAGCTGACTTCAATAGACTTCTTATCATAACATAGCTTCATCGAATCAGCAGACGTTTTCAAGTTTGAACGCACTTGATGGTGAATATCATTCATCCTTTCAGATAACACTTTCAAGAACTCTGGCATATTTTCCGGCAACATTTCGTAAAGTGGTCCATCCTGTTATCAGATCGACTGGCAACCGACGTTCCCTTCCACACATCAACTTTGCTGGAGTGTATCCAGTGGGTTCATGCTCTGCTGTTCTATAGGCCAGCAACAGTGGAGGGAGTAAGACATCCAAGTCATCTTGGCCACTATTACAAAACTTTTCCAATTCCTGTCCCAGTGTTCAATTGTACTTTTCTACCATCCCACCAGTGAAGTGGCGTTGTCCTGGTCTTTCATATGCAAAACAACTTGCAACATTCATGGAACACAGCTGATTCAAAGTTACGGCCTTGTTCTGAATGCAGTTCGTATGGCATACCAAACCTGAAGAAGAAAGCACTAATAGTCGAAGCTACAGTTGTAGTTTCCTGATTTGGTATTGCATATGCCTCAGGCCACTTGGTGAAATAATCTATCGCCACACAAATGTACCTGTTTCCAGCACGAGTTTGGGGCCAGGGACCAGCAATGTCAATGGCTACTCTTTCCATTGGTGCACCAACTTGATATAACTTCATTGGAGCAAGTCCCTTGTGCTTGGGTCCCCTTTTAACA